ACATACTACAAAAATAAGACTTGTGGAGCTGGAGGGGTGGCTCAGAAGTTAGGAGCAATGGCTCTCTTACAGAGGATTAGGGTTCAGTTCCCAGCACCTACTTGGTGCTAACAACTGTCTGTAACCCCAGTTCTAGGGGTACTCTGACGCCCTCTTCTGGCCTCTGTGGGTATTGCATGCATGTGGAATACATACATGCAGGCAAGATACTCATGATATACATAAAAAAAATTAAAATAGGGGGCTGGAGAGATGGCTCAGCGGTTAAGAGCACTGACTGCTCTTGCAGAGGACCCAGGTTCGATTCCCAGCACAAAATGGTGGCTATGAACCATCCTTTACTCCAGTTCTAGGGGAATCCAAAGCCCTCTTCTGATCTCCCCGGCATTGCACAACACGGGTGCACTGACATACATGCAGGCAATACACTCATACATATAAAATAAAAATAATAAAATATTTTTAAAACATATTTAAAAATAATCAAACAAAAAACTGAAAAAAAAACAAAAAACAAAAAACGAAAACACCCAAGATTTGAGAGATTTAATGCAAAGTGTGAGGGAGAAGGAAAAAAATCAGTCATGATGTGTAAGTTTCTGGGTTGTAACTGGAGAGATCTTGGTTCAGTACAGTAAGAGATTCCACATGATGATCTGAGACAGATAGAGGGAATAACATGAGTTCTCTCTTATTTTATGAAGGTAGGGTCTCATGTACCCTATGATGATCTCAAACTTGGCTATGTAGCCAATGACAACCTTGTATTCCTGACCCTCTGTACCCACCTCCTGCGTGCTAGAATTGCAGGCATGTGCTACCATATCTGGCTCATGAGTTTGCTTTTTCAATATAGAATAGCTGTCATGATTAGCTTTAACTGTGAAGTTGACATAACCAAGAAGAGAGTCTCAATGAAGCATTGTCTACAGTGGGGTGGCCTGTGGGCAATCTGTGGGAGATTGTCTTGATTGTTAATTGATGTGGGAAGATCTACCCCATCTTGGGTGGCACCATTCCCTGAGCAGGGAGTTGTGGAGAGTGCGAGAGGAGAAAGCAGGCTGAGAGCAAAACAAGGACCCACGCACTTGTTCTCTTTGCTCTTGGTTACGGATGTGATACTGTAAGCTCTGCCTTGACTTCCCTGTGGTAATGGGCTGTAACAGGCTGTAACTGAGAGCCATATAAACCCTTTTCTCCCCCAGGTTGCTTTTTGTCAGGATAGTTTATCATAGTGATGGTTCAATGGAGATGGAACTAGAACAGGTTCTTAAATTTCTAGTTTAGGAACTGACCCTACTAGGACAGGGACCACTGGGTGGAGTCTAATTTTGAGGGCAAGATTATTAGTTTGTTTTTGGATATGTAGAAAGAGGTCAGGGCTAAAGATATATTTAAGGGCACTTCAAAGGAAACTGATGTCATGGGTCTGAATGCAACTATCTCAGCTGAAAATAGGGTGAAAAGAGCTCAAGCGGGAGCTTTGAGGAACTCCAATATGAACAACTAGACAAATTCTCCTCTTTAATTTATATGTCCTTCAGTGTACTGAATAGTCAAATCATTCTTGTTTATTACATTTTTCTGTTAGTAAACCATATTGATTTATCTTAGCAAAATTCTGCCTTTTATTCGTAATTTCAGCAGCAGCTCCCCACCGTTTTTTGAAATTCTGTAAAGGAAATCCTCAGATCCTGTAGACCACTTTAGGCATTTTTCACAGTACTTTCCAAATTGCAGGTCATGACTCAGTGGGTCATGAAATTAATTTAGTGGGATCTGATTAGCATTTTTAAAATGAGATAACTAGAAGGCAAAGATCAAAGTATATCACATGTAGTAAGCACCCACACAGCCTTGCTGGGGTACTTAATTTAATCAATTTCATCGTTCAAAATGCTATATAACTCCCAGATTTGTATCTCTATCCCAGGATTCTCTGTCTTTTGTCAATTCATACATCTTACATTCTGTAACACAACACATCTTATCTCAGAAGCTGTAATTCCATCTATTTCAGAATCCAAATGCTTCTTCCCATCCTTATTGCAATCATCCTGGGCTAAGTTCATCTTCTCATCTCTCACCTGGGTTAATTCATTAGCCCTACAAGCTTCTTTGCTTCCATCCTGGCTCCTTCTGGTGTCTACCCTCAACACAGTAGGCAGAATGACCCTTTAAAATAGGGCTCAGGACCAGTAAGATGGCTTAGCAGGTAAAGGTGCTTGCTGCCAAGCCTGAAGGACTAAGTTTGATCCCTGGAACTCAGATGGCAGGAGGAAACAATTCCCCAAAGTTGTCTCTGATCTCCACATGCACACTGCTGTACTCAAATGCATGCACACCCCAACAAATATTAAACAACAACACAGGGTTCTTCAAACTTTTCCTATAGAAGGGTAGAGAGTAAAAACTAAGCCATCTGTGCGTGGTGGCACATGCCTTTAATCCCAGCACTTGAGAGGCAGAGGCAGAGGCAGAGGTAGGTGGATCCCTGTGAGTTCAAGGCCAGCCTGGTCTAATTTTTTTTTTTTTTTTGAGACAGGGTCTCCCTGTAGCCCCATCTGTCCTGGAATTCACTATGTAGACCAGGCTGGCCTTGAACTCGCGTGCCTCTGCCTGGGATTAAAGGCGTGCACCACCATGCCTGGCCTAAAAAAAAAAAATTGTAAAAAGCCTAAATTTGGCTTGAAAGTATTATAGCTACTGATACAGCAAAAGCAGAGTTCTAAAACAAAACTCAAAACAGTAGAGTATAATTTTTGGCAATATAGGACTACTAAAGAGAAGAATGGAATTCTGTTTTCCTTTTTTTTTTTTCTTCTGCTTTTTTTTTTTTTTTTTTTTTTTTTTTGAGACAGGGTCCCTGTAGTCTCAACTGGCCTGGATCTTACTATGTAGACCAGGCTGGCCTTGATCTCACAGAGATCCATCTACCTGCCTCTGCCTCCTGAGTGCTGGGACTAAAGGTGGGTGCCACCACACTTGGACTGTTTTCTGAATTTAATTTTATTATTAGTGTGTGTGTATGGCATGTGGATACACATTCCATGGTATGTGTGGATATCAGAGAACAACTCTGTGGAGCTGGCTTTCTCCTTCCACCTTTACGTGTGTTCTTAAGTTGAATTTAGTCACCAGGCTTGCACTGTCAAGTAGCAAGTATTTATCTACTGAGCTACCTCACTGGTCCATGTTTTCTTCCTTTTTTCTTTTTTTTAAGGATGCCATTTTGCTTAATTAGGGTTCAAGGCCAGTGCTCCTTATCTTCAAATCAACAGCAATTTTTTTTTGGTCTTTTTGAGACAGGGTCTCTCTGTGGCCCCAGCTAGCCTGGAACTCACTATGTAGACCAGGCTGGCCTTGAACTCACAGAGATCCACCTGCCTGCCTCTGCCTCCTGAGTGCTGGAACTAAAGGCATGTGCCACAATGCCTGGCCTGCAAATGTTATTTATTTATTTATTTATTTATTATTTTAATTTTATGTGTATAAGCGTATTGCCCGTATGTGTGTAAGTGCAGTCGCGCAGTGCCTGTGGAGGTCAGAAGAGGGCGTCAGATCCTCTGTAACTGAAATTACGTACAGTTGTTAGCTGCTATGTGGGTGCTGGGAATCAAACCCGGGTTCTCTGCAAGAGTAGTCAGTGCTCTTAATCACTAAGCCATCTCTCCAGCACCATTAAATCAACTGCAAATGTTTATCTGGTAAGAGCCATGCTTAGTTGTAGTCCGTACAGAAAGATGTAATGGGATGGCTTCATCCTGCAGGCTTAGTTGCTGACCTCTCTTTTATATCACTTGTATTTCTGTTCAACACACTACCAACATTTAGCAGCTCAAAACAGTACCCTTTTATTATCAGTCAGACATCCAAGCTGACTTGGCTGGGTTCTCGGCCTAGGATCTCACAAGGTGAGGTGACTTCTTGGAGTATCTGGGAAAGAATCCTCCCAAGCTCATTTGGGCTGTTGGCAGAAAATAGTTCCTTGTGATGATCTGAGGTCTTTACTGCTACACTGGCATGATTTATGCATCTTTCTATTCACCCACAGCACTCTGTTGACCCAAACTAGCCTTCTTGCTATTGCCTGAACCTACCAGTCACACTCCCACATTAAGAGCCTTTCCTGGGGATCTTTGTTATTAGACTTTCTTGTTTTGATTTTTAGTCTGTGTGCTGCTGAAATAATCATTTTGTTTCTGGGTATATTCTAAGCCTCTATCACAGTGGTTAGTACAAAAGAAGCAATCAAGTTGGGCATGGTGGGACACATGTGTCTTTAGTCCCAGCACTTGGGAGGCAGAGGCAAGTGGCCTGTGAGTTCAAGGCCAGTCTGGTCTACATAGTGAGTTCCATGACAGCTAAATGAAAATTCTGGTTAAGTCCACTATGTTTTCTAGGGTTATGTATGCTTATTAGGCTGTGATGCATAATGTCTACCTTACTGAGGAATGTAGTCCGTAGAATCTGAAAATCACTAGGGCTAGCCTATGTGACTTCTAGGATCCTTTCCAAACTTTAGCACTCAAAAGTGTCTATGGGCAGTTGGACAGACTACAATAGGTACTGAATTATTGAAATAGACACCAAAAGAGCAAAATAGTTATCTCTACCCATTCTGTTTAATACAAAGGGAAGCTAAAGCGGTAAGTGTTGAGTGCTGGGAACTGAACTCTTGTCTTTTTGGTTGTGAGTCTGAGCCTTTAACAGCTTTGCCATTTTGCCAGTCCAAAGGAAAAGGTGTAGCCCAGGATGGCCTCAAACTCATCATCTTCCTCCCTCCGCCTCTTCACCATATTATACTGGCTTGTGCCCCCATACCTAGTTCCCTATCCATTCTGTAACCATAGGCTAGAAAAAACTGTGAAAACAGCAAGAACTACTAAATGCCCCAAAATATAAAAATCTAAAGCTAATGTTTTTTATCAAAAAGAGATATTAATTACTTCAGATCAAATGGCAAGAGAGAACATTTTCTAGACCCAAATTTTACTTACTGAAGAAGGGAAGAAGCGTGAAGAAAGACGCTGCTCAAGGTCTTTGCAGCTGACATCGTGACCTGAACTGACTGTGGGAGGAAAGACCACTTGTGAAGTACATAGGCTTTCCATTCATCCACAGGCAGATCCATGCTATCTTAGATCTATGAAGGAAGAAAATAAGGATTCAGGTTTCTACAGATGTACAATTCTAAAAAAAAGTTCAGGATTTCATCCCAGCAAGTATGATGCAACAAAATCAATTCTTGTATTTTTCCACAGTTGTTTCTATGCTGAAGTAGATATTTCTGCACTAATTCACTGAACATCCTGCCATTCAGAAATCTTTCCTGGCAGCCTTTGCTCCAGACACAATGCTAGGTGGTGGTTATACAAATATGAATCAAACAGCAGTTAGATGGTTACCATTACAGTCCTTCTAGACTTCCTCCTACATTAGTTGCCCAAGTCCTTCCAGACTTTTCACTCACCCCAGTAACTATTAAGTTAAATATTTTCATCTTTTAGATGGTTCAGTTTTCTGCTTCGATCTCCAGGTCATTCTTTTGAGATCACGTCCTCACCATCTCTGAGAGTACTAGTGTTCCTACCCCCAGCCCCACCTTCCTCTCTTTCAATCCATCCTCCACGTTGGGACTGATGTCAGTCTTCTGCCTTTAATTCATTGAGACCCCTTCTAGCATAAACCCATCATTATTTGACCCTTGGCTTACTTCCTAATTGCTTTTTTCCTCTGTGTTCTACCATACTGAGGTATTCTTTGTGATCCGTTCGCTGAGATTTATTCACTTAAAATATTTCTCTATGTTTTGAGACAGGGTTTCACTATACAGTCCTGGCTGGCCTGGATGGAACTGCCACGTGAACCAGGCTGGGTCCAAACTCACAGAGATTCGCCTGCCTCAGTCTCCGGATTGCTGGGATTAAAGGCATGCGCCACCACATCTGGCCCCAAAATTTCGATTTCTGAGGATCTCATGTAGCCCGGGCTGATCCTCGAACTTACTATGAAGATGAGGATTGACTTTGAACTCCGGATCCTCCTGTCTCCATCTCCCAAATGCTGAGATCACAAGGGTGAGCCTCCCACTCCCTAGGCTCTCCAGTATTTTTGCAAAGGCCATCGGTACTTTCAGTAACATCCATCCCTACCCTCACCTGACAAATTCCTACACATCTGACTCGCTTCAAATCTGATGTCCCACCTGTGATTCTCCCACACGTAGAAGCACACCGCGTTGACCCTGAGCTTGGGCTTCTCATAACCGCAACTCACAGGTCCGACTATGCTATTCTCAGGGCCGGGTCTGTATGGTTTACCTTCGGGATAACCCACGGAGCCCACCTCTGGGGCTGGCACAGACACGAGGCACGCACTGCGGGGATGAAGGCACCAGGTCACTGCTTGAACTATATTTACCAGGAGAGTTCCCAGGAAATAGCTCCCACTATCCTCTAGGCTGTCACTCAGTCCCCTCTGCCAAACGCCGGAAGCTTCCGAGACCCGGCGGAATGCGACCTCTGCAGCTCCGCGTCAGTTTGGCGCAGCTCCCACCCCACGCCCCGCCCCGAGACCCCGCAATCCCGCCACTAGGCCCGGAACCCTGGCTGGGGCGAGTCACGTGCGCCGCCCGCCGCGGACAAGCCAATGCGGAGGCTGCTTGGCGCCTAGGCCCGCCCCCACGCCTCAAGTGGACCAATGTGGAGGCTGCTTGGCACTTAGGCCCGCCCCCCGCGCCGTGCGCACGTTGGGGGCGGAGCTCCGCGTACAGAGCCTCCAGCCAATCCCCGAGCATCCCGCTGGACACCCCCCCCCCCGGTAGCTGAGCTTGGTCTGTGCAGGAGCGCGAGCGCGGGAGTTAGCTGTGCAGCCATGGTGGGACATCTGAGCGAGGGAGCCATTGCGGTAAGGAGCCGCCCCGAAGCAGGGACCGCGGCCTTGGCGGTACGGGCCTGGAGCCGTGTGTAGCGGACCTGGGGAGGGAGCGGCGGGCGATCGGGAGAGGACCGCAGAGAAAGAGATTGCGGGGCCCGCGAGGGAGCCGCCCCGGGGTCCCTAAGATCATCCCCTCCCCTCCAGGACTTCTCAGGTGCTCAAAATAAACCGGGACTAAATAAATGTCCGCCTGTCTCCCCTTGGCGGCCGCGCTCTCCTCCCTTTGCCCTAACTTCAGCCAAACTTTTCTAAGAGTTGTCTGTCTGATTTCTTTACCTCCCTTGAACTCTATTTAGCCTCTTCCAGCAGACATTTCCCTGGTCACGAGAGAAGATGCTGGTTGAAGTCGCTAGTGGGCTCCCAGTCGCTAAATCCGACTGACGTTTCTTAGTTTTTCGCTTTCCTGAATTCTTGTTCGGGCCTGTTGACCATCGCTTCCTTCTGCTAACAGTCTTCTCTTGCCTGGGTCCTGTGGCTCGCTTGGGCTGGGCTTTATTTGTAAGCCCCTCTTGGTCAGTTCTTGACTCAAGACCCTCTGTAGTGTAGCGGTTCTCTTCCTCCAAGGCAATTTCAGTGACATGTGCATGTCAGTTACTCTTAATTTCTTCATGTTGAGCTAACTACCTTTGATTTAAAGGACGAGCTTTATAATCTGTTCTCGAAGACATCTTAATTTGAGCATATCTCACAGCAGATCCATTATGTTCCTAAGTCTGAACTTTTTTTTTGTTTTGTTTTTGGTCTTTTTGAGACATGAAAGATTAATTATGTGTGTATGTCTGTCTGTGTCTGTGCTTGATGGCGGGGGGGGGGGGGGGGGCGTGCGCATGTGCCACTGCTGGTGTCTGGAGGTTAAAGGACAACTTTGGAGTTGGTTCTTTTCTTTAAAATTTAGGTAGGTTTTTGGAGTCAAACTCGGGCAGGCAGGCTTGCATAGCAAGCATCTTTACCCACTGAGTCATCTTGCCAGCCCTGAGTCTAAACTTTTTGATGTCCCTTTCTCAATGAATGATACCACTATTTAATTTATGCTAGCTAGAAACTGAGGAATTATTCTCCCTGTTAAGGTTCAGAGAGCCCTGCCCCCTCACCAACGGGATCTCAAGGACTTCTCATGCTCCTGAGAAAAGGGAACCGAGCTGATAAGCACCTTGGTCTTTGAAGTCAAGAGAAGCAGACTTTTCGCCACTGTTTGGCCAACACAGCAGGTTTCCCCTTTGATCTCTAAAGAGAACAGGTTTTAACAGTCTCTCTCTCCCATTCCCTCCCCCCCACCCAACCTTAAAAATACGTCTTCCCGCCTTCTGCAGGAAGCAGAAGCCTACCCCCTTAAAAGACCCCAGCTCATGACCCAGGGCAGGCATTTTCCCTGCCCGGAAGGGAATCTATCCCATGTGTTCCTTTGTTAATAAACTCTGCTTTCTCCTGATTGTCATAGTGCTAATTTTTATCTGTCTCTCCCTACATTGTGCATCACTCTGGATGCCCAGTCTGTCACCAATTGAAGAATATTTTAACTCCACATAGATCTCATAAGTCTATCTACTTTTCATTCACACTGGAACCATCATTTGTTGCGTGAACTAGTCTGATCCACTCAACACTCCCTCCTCCCACAGTTCCTACTTACTATCTTCTTGCTAGGCCCCCCCTTCCTCCCCTCCCCCTTCCACCCCACCTATCTCTTAAAGTATATTCTTGCCCTCAAGGCCCTTGATCTTCCTTTTTCTTTTGCTAACAGAATGTTCCAGATCAGCCCAGTTGTTACTGAGTTGGCAAAGTATCTAGCCGGAATCCATTTATTCTGAGACCCTAATTCCTTTGTTCACTTATGTATGACTTTGGGCTGCATACTAAACTCTTTTCCATGTCTGTAATCTGAAGGTGATGATACTATCAATAGCATAGGGTTAGTGAGAAGGTTGACTTTCTGCATTTAATGTTTAGCCCTTGCTAGTGCATGCTTCCTGGTACTAATCCGCACAGATGTACATTTGCATTTGTTTCCTGCTTATTTAATTGATAGTTCTGTTTCGTACACTAGGTTGTAAATTCTCTGAGGCCTGTACCATGTCATGTTTTCCCCTCTCTCCCTCAGCATAGTACCCCTAATGTCTGGAATGATGTTAGCAAGTTTTAGGTACCCAGTGATAGGTAAAAAGTTGGCGGAGAGTGAGCGAATGGATGATGAGGCACCGAGGCACAGCTAAAACTCCATCAAAATAGGGTTTATTAGCAAAGGAACACATGGGACAGAGTCCCTTCTGGGCAGGGAAAATGTTTGCCTGGGTCTTGAGCTGGGGTCTTTTTAAAAGGGAGGCTTCTGCTTCTTGCAGAAGGTGGGAAGGTGTTTATTTATTTATTTTTTTTTAAGTTGTGAGGGGAGTGGGAGAGCAGGTCTGTTAAAACCTGTCTTCTTTAGAGATCAAAGGGGAAGCCTGCTGTGTTGGCCAAACAGTGGAGAAAAGTCTGCTTCTCTTGACTTCAAAGGCCAAGGTGCTTATCAGCTAGGTTCCCTTTTCTCAGGAGCATGAGAAGTCCTTGGGATCCTGTTGGTGAGGGGGCAGGGCTATCTGAACCTTAACATTCCAGCCTTTTGTGTTATAGGATAGGAGGTGCCTTTGTCATCTTGCTACTTCCTGCTGGACAGGGTCAATGTGGGGTGGGGGGTAGGCTGGATTAGGGGTCCACTAGGCAGCAGGGGTTGTCTCTCAGTGCATCTCAACAGGATCCTCAATGGTTTACAGGCACTTGTGTACATGTGGAGGGAAGGAAAGTAACAACTGATTAAAATTAGTAAGAGTTAGTTTTTGGATTTGGTCCTGATAATATCTGAAGAGATAAGGAGCAATGGTTAGCACCAAGGTAATAGCTCTTTTTTTTTTCTTCTGCCAGCCTGAACTCCAGAGCGATGGACTCAGGATTTGTTTTCAGGCATTTTGATAGCTATTGGAGGGGCTAGAATCAGTGTCAGTTACCTCTCAAAGGCTTCTAGATAAGGGAGAGAAAACAAATTTAGCCATCATTTCATTTTTTGGCTAGAACAATAGTAGATTGCCTCTCTTAGCTGTAAGTGGGCACTACACAGTATTGTAGACCAAGATTTGAAGTCTTACATCTGAGTAATGTCTTGTTAGGAACAAAATTATCAATGAGAGATAATTGTCTAAATAACATAAGAACTTATGTCTAATGTCAGGTTTGTGTAATCCCCTGAACCCCTAAAATATACTGATGACTTTAATTTTGGTTATACTTTCCTTTTGGGTGTTTAAGACCATACTGTTGGCCCAAATCAATTTATTTTTACTCTTACAGTTGTATGAGGATTTGGTCCTCAGGGGTCACATGGGCTTGGGGGGAGCCCCTGGCTCCTCAGGCTTTTCTTTACCAGTTCCATCTACATGAAGATAAGCCAAGAGACCCTGCTTTACCTGGGTTTTGCTTGGAAGCATGGAGGAAATGTTTCCTCTGTGTTGATCCTCCTCTTTGTAGACTGGACACTAGTTCAGGTCCATCTTCTAGG